TTGTTTCTTTGTAAAACCGCCACCTCATCTGATTATATAAAAGGCATAAAAAAGAAAAGAAATTCATTATGTAATTATAGAATAATTTCTTTACCATCAATCGTATTTAGTTTAGTTTATTAAAACAACAACAACACAGAAACATTAAAAAACGATATTAACAAGAAGCTATATATACTACGCAGAATATATCTGGAAATTGAAGTGCACCTGAAAAAAAGCAAGAGGATATACTAACACATGTTTCTACTTACCGATCAGATCTGTTATTTTTTGTTGCAATTGGTCTATAGCAGAATCCTTCTGTGGCACCACAGTATTGTTAAGATAATCTAGTTGTTGGGAAGCTTCAGAATACATCACCTCGTACATATGTAGTTGCTGGACCTGCTCAGTCAGCTGCAGACAACTTTGTCGTGATGCATCTAATTCAGCTTCAATCAAAATATCAAATATACTGTAAGTTACAACACACAAAAGCCTTTATCATTTTGAGAATGTATACTAAATGGAGCTAGAAAATTATTTTTAGTTCCATTTAGTTGTCACCCAAACATTTAACGCTTAAAAATTAGAATGAACAAGATATATTTGTAAAACATGTTTGCCCTGTAGGAGCACATTTGTCTCGGAGCACATTTGTCTCACGAGGTGTGACCGATGTCCTATTTGCGACAAATTGGAAATGAGCACACAATAGAAATGACACTCGAAGCACATTTGTCTCACAATCTTCCATTAAATTCTAAAAAGGTAATAATTATGCCCGTCCGTGTACCAACTTCTTGCCATTGTTCTGTGTTTTCTGTATTTATAATACCGTTTTTATTTGTTTGGGTCGTCAGACCAAACAAATAATGGTAGCGAAATTTCAGAGTCTAATGCTGTTAATTGCAATGCCAAAAGTAGTCCACTTTTTTTGAAGCGGTTACTTCCCTTTATAATGTACACTTACTCCGAAAAATTCAGGGGAGATCACTGCGTAAAGATGGTCAAAGACAGACACATTAATTTTCAAGCAAAATAATTCCCGAATGGTCGAAGATTTCTAATATTGTTTTATTGTATTTTCTGATCAAAAATAAGTAAAGACAAAGCGGACATTCAATCTCTGACACAGAAGTTTACGATGAACCTAACAACAAGTAGTTCACAAAACAGCTTAAAACTAGCGATTTAAAAGAAAGAAATATTTTTATTTTGTTACAAGTATCCAACAAATTACAACGCATTCAAAGTTTAAAAATAGCGTTGGCTTATAGAATTGTCAATAAATGCACAATCACAAATTACGCGGATGAATATGATTTTATCAATGAAAATACTATTTTTAGCGATGTCGATTACCGAATACTACACAGACCGAGTAGTGGAATATATAGATTGTACATGTAGGACTGTTTGGGCGAGAAGATTTTCGCTAAATTAACTACTTCAATTTTAAACAACAGGTTTATCCTGAACAAAATACCTCGAAATTAATAAGGATTACAAACCCGAAATGCAATGGAAGTTCTAAATTTAGAATGACTTGATGTTATTCAATTGTTGTTTGTATAACTTCTCCGTGGTACAGTGGTAACGCGCTCGCTTAGTGAGTGAGAGGTCTGGAGTTCAAATCCCAGTAAAGGCAACTCATTTTTTTTCAAATTGTTTAAGTCAAATAAACATTGGATTGAATATCAGTGTTGCAATTAGTCTTATAGCCAATTTACTACAATTAAAACGCTGGAAAGCATTGGTGGCACTATACATATAATCTCACAACCTGTACCTTTCTTACATTCTGAGACCCAAACAAATTCAGCGCCTTCTGTGCTTTGATTTTGTAACTTCCAGTCAATCAAAAACATCCTGCCTCTGCATAGGAGTCATATATTTACTTAAAGAATATCCCTGTTCTGCATGTCACAATGAAATGTATATAAGTGCAGTATTCAGAACCCAAGCTTATACTAGTATGCTGCAAGTCTATTCTTATCGCATGGTTTGGAACTTTTCCATTGTTCTTACTAACCCATTATACTCAGTACACTTCAATGAGCATTTCAAAATTGTATTGATATAACAGTACAGTTTTTTCATTGATTCAAATAGGAAAAAAACTCGACTGTTATATATCGGTCGAGTTTTTTTCGCACCTTGTATATATCAATGCAGTTTTTTTTTTATAGAGGCTCCAATTGGGCAGTGGTAACGACCATTCCCAGTAGCAAAAAAATAAAATAAAAAAAATGAAATTAATAAAATAAAATAAATATATAAATACAATGAAAAATATAAACAAAAGATAATTAATGAAATGAAATTTACTCTCATTCAAAAGGTACATCCGCTGAATGAATTATTTCCACTGAAAAAAAAGCCCTTTAATCTTGAATCAATCTTGGTAACAGCATACAATCCGCCTCTAATATTGGATATCTTTTGTATATTTTTTTGCGGCAGCGAAAACAACTTGAAAAAAACTGCCTTTTAATGTAGCTGACGATTTATTTATTTATTCGTTTCTAGTACAAAAAAAGAAAACATTATGTCATTGCGATAAAATAGTTATAGTATATGAAACTCGTTAGTTACGGGGGTATAACACTGGCTGGGGCGACATCTCGGGATGTTTCTGCAAAAAAAAAATTGTCTAGGCCTGACGGCCTCGCCATTATTTTTAGCAGAAACACCCCATGATGTCGCCCCAGCCAGTGTTATATCCTCGTAACTAACATAGTTCATGTACTATAACTATTACTTATCGCTTTTAATTGTGACACGTTTCCTTCCGATGCTTGAAGTTTTATTGATCGCATGGTTTGCACTTACTAACCCATTATACTCAGTACACTTCAATGAGCATTTGAAAACTGTATTGATATATAACAGTACAGTTTTTTTCATTGATTCATATAAGAAAAAATCTCGATTGCTATATAGCGGTTGAGTTTTTTTTATTTCGCACCTTGTATATATCAATATAGTTTTTTTCACAGAGGCTCCAATGGGGCAGTGGTAACGGACATTCCCACTAGGAAAAAAAATAGGAATCAATAAAATAAAATAAATAAATAAATATAATGAAAAATATAAACAAAGATAATTAATGAAATGAAATTTACTCTCATTTTAATCAATAGGTACATCCGCTGAATGAAATATTTCCACTGAAAAAAAGTCCTTTAATCTTGAATCAATATTGGTAACAGTTTTACAATTCGCCTCTAACACTGGATGTCTTTTGTACATCTTTTTTTTTTGCGGCAGCGAAAACAACTTGAAAAAAACTACCTTATCATAAATAACTGTAATGTACCTAACGATTTATTTATTTATTTATTTCTATTACAAAAAAGGTAAACATTATGCCTTTGCGATAAAACAGTTTAATTATATGAAACTCGTTAGTTACGAGGATATAACACTGGCTGGGCGACACCTCGGGATGTTTCTGCAAAAAATTGTCATCTGTCTAACGGCCTCGACATTTTTTAAGCGACAACATAACCTATACCGTTATCGCCTTTTCGCCGGGTCGCTAGCGACAACACGACAAATCGCCAAACGCCGCGTTGTCGCACTGTCGTCTTGTCTCTAGCGAAGCATGCCAAACGGCGCGATGTCGTTTGGCATGTTGTGACGATGTCACCCTGTCGCTTGGCTTATAAGCTAATCCTGCGATTTTAACCGAACGCGACAATGTGATATCACGACAACACGCCGCACGTCAACACGCTGTTTGGTGTGCATCGTTAGCGACAGTGCGCCGTTTGGCCGTTTTGTCACCAACGACAACGTGACGCACAAAAGCGTAGCAAATCAGTCACCATGAGTTACAATATTAGAATTAATAGTTCCACAGGTTTTAAGGTTAAGATTTCATAAAAAAGCATTTGCAAACTTCGTGATGATTGAACTTGACATGAGGTTAAACGGCGAAAACATTTCTGCCGTGGGAATATATATGACAAATAATTCATTAAAACTGACACGAGACAAATGTGCTTTCTTGTCCCTTAAAGAGTATGAGTCAAATGTGCTTTCTTGTCCCTTTAGAACTTGATCGGAGCACATCTGTCACACAAAGGGTGTTTTTAGGTAGACATTTGAGGTCCCATTTGTCTCATGTGGGACAAATGCGACCGCATCGGCCTTACGTAAGACCAATGTGCTCCGAGTCAAATGTGTTCCTACAATGCCCCCTATCGACAGCCAATTACTCATGTGGTCAGGTTATCATGACTGACTTTTGACCTAGTGACCAAGAAAGCAATAGAGGTAATCTACCGGCAATGACTAGTCACTAGGTCATTGTGACCATAAAGGCTGTGTGCAGCAATTTTATTTTAAGTTATCACAAATCTTACCAAATAAAATATGCATACATGTTATGAATCATGTAGGTTTCCTTAATGACAGCCAATTTGTTATATTACATAAGACCATGAAATGTGTGTATCAAAAGCATAAAATATCAACAAGGCAACTTGAGTTGTTGAGTTATTGGTCGGAGTACAAGATCAATGTGACTTTGAAATCAATAGGGGTTATCTACTGGCCAAGACCAATGCACCTGTGAAGTGTGAAGATAATGGCCCCATGTGTTGTTGAGATATTGATCAGAATCGTTTTTACCTATAAAAGCAATGTGATATTGACCTATGACCCTTGACCCCAAAAATCCATTCAGGTCATCTTTTGACCAAAAGCAATGCATTTGTGAAGTTTGAATGCCAAGGGTTCATGGGTTGTTATTGACAGGAAGCTGTTTTGGCATATAAGGTAATTGTTCCTTAAATATTGATCAGGAACCATTTTACCTACGAGGTCAATGTGACCTTGACCTTTGATATATTGACCCCAAAACAGTAGGGTTCATCAACTGGTCATCAACAATCATCATACCAAGTTTGAGGTTTTTGAAGTGGGGTATAATCAGAAAGGCATACGGAACTCACCATCCGATAATTGTTTCTGCTGAAACATTTGATCTAGAAGCTCTTTTAATTGTGTTGTGGTAGTTTCGCTCTTCTCTAACTGTTCCTTTTGTGATTTCAAATCATCTATAAATTATAACCTAAATTATTTTCCATTGTTTAGGTTACGATAAAATATCTATTGAACATAAACATTCGCATTTTCCTTAAAACACGACAATATGTTTCTTTACATTTAAGATGTAATATATTTAATATAAAGTACATGTGTAACTACAATTTAATTGTACTGAATTGACTGATTAAATTATTCATCAAACTTTGTAATTTTTTCATGATGATTCACACATTTAATTGCTTGTTTAACATGAAATACCTTTTGTACTTTGAAGTTGCAACTTCAGGTGTAAGTTTTCTTTGTTAACACCATCTGCAAACATATAAACATACAATTTTATAAAAAAGAAACTTCATTTGAAAGAAAAATGCATTAGATTTTACGAAAATTACATGTTAAAATATATGATTTAATCCGAAGTTACCTTGCTTTATATGAAAAGGATATGCAGCGTACAATAAAAATATATAATTTCGAATTACCATAAATGATACTCACCAAATTGAGCCTTTACTGTTAGCATTTCTTTTGTTTTCGCCTTAAGCTGCTCTTCTAAATTTTTCCTGTGTTGCTGTGCTTGTAATGAACCTTCTTCTAATGATGCCAAACTGGCCTCAAGTGTTCTGTTTTTATCTGACAATCAATTATAAGAAGAAGGCATAAAATGTAATAGAGGAGATCCTGGTTGATGTATATACTCGTATATTTAGAATAATAGTTTCAGAAATATTTTGCTAAATAAAGGAATAACTACCCCAATGGGCACTATAAGGAACTAAAGAATTGACAACATAAGTCAGATATATACCTTAAAGGACACATGTATGCAAAACTTAAAGAAATTTGGAAAATTTAAATATCAAATTGAAATTTTATGAATATATACTTACCTGATGATAACGATAAGAATTATCCATGCTCAGTCACCTGTAACTCGCCTGTTCTAAAAATAGAACTATCTACCTATAAAAGGTAGATATCCACGAGTTAACTTCAGTAAAGTCTGGCGCTCATAAGAGTCACCAGATCACTGAAAAATGGGGAGGTTGGGAGGGTATAATAATGTTATCATCAGGTAAGTATATATTCATAAAATTTCAATTTGATATTTAAATTTTCCAATTTTATTTCATATCGCTACTTACCTGATGATAACGATAAGAATTATCCAGATTTCAAAGCAGTACTTCTTGCACTGGGTGGTGGGTTTTCAGTTATTCACTGATGTGTTGTTCATAACATATTTACACTGGATATACACTGAACTATATACACTGATATACAGTAGTAGAAATCCCATTTATACATATCCCTTGATAAAATACTTCTTTACACTGTATATAAAATACCCTCCTTTTAACAGTAATTATACAAGTTACAGTTATTCATATATCAAAACACTGTATTTTCAAGTAAACCTCATATTTTGTTGACGCAACTCGCCGGTTATTTACAAAATGTTTTTTTTGTTTTTTTACATATTATTGAAGTATTTCTGTATTAACAGATTTCAAATAAAATTTTATAAAAGTGGACTCTCTTGTCCAATCTGCAGCTTCCATTATGTTTTTCAATGGAGTTCCTTTTAGGAGTGCCCAAGAAGCTCCAAGGCTGCGTGTTGAATGAGGTAAAACTTTCCCTGACTCCTTGTCAGACTCTTTATATGCCCTTTGTACAGTTTTCCTTATCCAAGCACCAATGGTTTGACTAGTTACTGGTCGATATGGTCTGCAAAACAGCTTTGTGTCATCTTTACCATTAACTAATCTATGAATTTCTGTGCGTTTCAAATAAATGGCTAATGCCCTTTTAGGATCTAAAAGTTTGTTAGATGGGAAAGCCGGAATAAATATATATGGTGATATGTGTCCAGGTCTATCTGTTTTAGAAATTCCAGTCCTTATGAATGTAATGCCTCGATTCTGAACATTGACATTATTTTCTCCCAACTTCAATGAATTAATGTCACTACAGCGCCTAAATGTAGTGACCGCTATTAGAAAAACAGTCTTAAAGGTAACAAATTTCATATGTGTTTTCATCATAGGTTCAAATGGACATTTTTGTAAGGCTGTTAAGACCAAATTTAAATCCCACTCTGGAACTAATTTTCTAGTGAGTGGTCTTGAATTGAAAACACCTTTTAAAAGCCTTATGATAAATCTATGTTGACCAATAGGAAAATTATCAACTGGTGGTAAAACTGATGAAAGCATTGACCTGTAGCCTGCTATAGTATAATATTGTAGGCCTTCATGAAAGAGGTCTGTCCGAAAATCTGCACACTGAATTAAAGTTGCATTATAGGGATCAATTTTCCTTTGATTACACCAGCGACTAAATTTTCTGAATTTACATGAGTAGTCTTGTCTAGTACCAGCTCGCCATGAGGCTGAGAGAAGTTTTCGAGTTTTCTTTGAAAATCCCTCTGTTCTAAAGGATTTGTTGATAATAGCCATGCAGTCAGACTTAACATTTTTGGATTTTGATGAAGAATTTTTGTGTTTGGCTGACTCAGAAGGTCTTTCTGGAGAGGTAACTTGATTGGATAAGCTACAAGATACTGTAACAATTGCGGGTACCACGGTCTGCGTGGCCAACATGGAGCAATTAGTAGAATTCGACAATTGTACATTGTCATGTGCTGTAATAGTCTGGGAATTAGAGCTATCGGTGGAAAAGCATATGCAAAGATGTTTTCCCATGATATTGTCAGTGCATCTATTGCATATGCTTGAGGACATTGACTCCATGAACAAAAAACTGGTAGTTTGTGGTTGTGAACTGATGCAAAAAGATCTATTGAGGGGTGACCTAGTTTCAAGAATATTGCATTCAGAATTGATTGTTTGAGTGTCCATTCTGTTTGTTTTATCACTGTTCGTGATAACTGGTCTGCAAGGACGTTTAACTTTCCCGTCACATGGGCAGCTCTGACAATAGTTTTGTTTTGAAGTAACATTTGCCATAAATCCCAGGTTTTCTGATTCAGAATTAGGGATTTTGTTCCGCCCTGCTTGTTTATATACTGTACAACTGTGGTGTTGTCTGACCGTATTAGAACATGTTTGTTCCCGAGATATGGAAGAAAATGTTTGATAGTGCGGTGAACTGCTTCCATTTCTAAACAATTGATATGTTGTAATTTTTCTGTTTCTGTCCATTGACCTTGAACTATTTGATTTCCCAGATGACCACCCCAAAGTTTCAGTGAAGCATCTGTTGTTACTGTGATTGAACACTCTATGGGAGTGACAGATCGGCCTTTCAAAATGTTCACTGGATTTAACCACCAATTTAAATGTGGAACAAGGCTTTGAGAAAATGGTATTGTCATATTTAAATCTTGACTGCATGGTTTCCACAATTGTAACAGATGGATTTGAATCGGTCTCATAAACAATCGTGCATTGGGAATTATCTGAATACACGATGCTATCAGACCAAGCAAGTGAAGATAATCTCTTGCAGTACATGTTTGATTCAGTATTTTTTTGACAGCTAGATACAATGACAATATTCGGTCTTCTGTTGGCATAACTAAACCTTTTTGTAACTGAAAAAGGGCTCCTATGTATGTAATTGTCTGACATGGAATAAGTTGTGACTTCTTTAGATTTATTATAAATCCTAGTTCTACAAGGAGATTTAATATCAGGTCTTTGTTTTGGATTAATTTCTTTAATTCTTGATTTACTATGAACCAGTCGTCTAGGTAATTTGCTAGACGTATGCCTAAAGTCCTCAAATACGCAGTTATTACAGCTGTTATCTTTGTAAACACCCGGGGAGCCACTGTAGGTCCGAATGGAAGGGCCACAAATTGGTAACAAACATCCTGAATGCAAAACCTCAGGAATTTTCTGTGGCTTTTGTAAATAGGAATGTGAAGGTAAGCATCCTTTAAATCTAACGATATTGCCCAATCTCCTTGTTGAACTAGGTTTATCACAGAGTTCAGGGTTTCCATTTTGAAATGTGTTTTCCGGAGAAACTGGTTTAGAGGTCTTAGATTTATGACAGGTCTTAAATCTCCTGTCTTTTTTGGGACTAAGAAAAATGTACTGTAAAAACCTTCCATTTGTTGACATTTTGGAACAATTTCTATGGCACCTTTTGAAATTAATTCTTGAACTTCTGTTAAAATAATATTTTTGTTTTTCACACCAACAGGTGTCTTTCTTATTCCTGAAAAGGCGGGAACTGTTTCGAATTCCAATTTGTACCCCTCTTTTATGATTGACAAGACCCATTTGTCTGATGTTATTTCGTGCCATTTTGCAAGAAAATGTTTCAAACGACCTCCTACTGGTATCTTCGGAATCAAACAAAGTGTACTTACCAAGTCATTTCTTTTGATTGAATTTCCCTCGAAAATTGCTGTTTTGACCCTGTGCAGAAGCAGCGGTTGAAGGCTTGTTTTGACTGGCATAAGACTTGTACGGTCTTCTTGTCTGAAAACTGTTTGTTTGTCTTTCGTAATCAAATTGTTTCCTTTTTGGACTGTAGTCACGTCTTGACCTTTTGAAAGATTGAAATTCCATCACTGGTTTTCTTTTTGTTTGTTTACATTTGTCCTTGTCATCAGACAGCAAGTCAATTATGTTTTTGCTAATTTCTTTTTTAGACTTAAGTTTACTCTCAAAGTCTTTTCCAATAACGCCTTCATCAGTAAGAGGAAGATCCCACTTATCAATGTCTGGAATTTTCCTATCAATACCCGTATCAGCAATAGTTGCTCGTCTACGAACAAGGTGGTGAAAAGCTCCTGCACGTGCAGTTTGATCAAGTGAATGCGATGCAATAGCAAAAATATCCTTCGTTGACTGGATAGCAGCATCAATATTTGGATCCTTATCCGTCAGTAAAGTAAGAAGTTTACCTAGACCTTGTTGCATATACATAATCATAGTGAGAGCTACACTTGATGCACTTTGACCTTTGTAAGCTAATTTTTCGATATTCTTGTAAGATGAGCTGTATAAACTATGCCCATCTTTGTAAGAAGCCTTCGACCCATATCTGTCTTTGAGCAAAGAATCTACTATTGGATCTAAACTAGGAACCTTCAAAAGTTGCTTGAAATCTTCACTTACTGTGAAATTTTCCAAGGATTCAAGTTTAAAAGTTGACATTTTATTTGGCTCTGGACATCTCCAAACAGATTTCAATATTTCTTCTTGAGATTTATCCAAAATCAATCCTGGTCTAGATTTTTCACTTTTTGATGGCACTGCATCTGGCCCAAACATTTCAAATAAAATGTCACGATTCTCTTTCGACAATCTACAGTTACGAAAACGATTACTGTTCTCATCTTCAGAATCTGAACTGTCTGACAACAATGAAAGTACTGTTTTCTTATTACCATTTGAAAACACCGATGATTCGTCATCATCACCGAGCAAATCAAGACGTTCTTGTCTATGTGGATGGATTGATAAGTTGTCATCACTATGTGACTCATTTTCGGTGTTTCGCGACCGTCTATGGTCCGAAGGTGAAGATATCCGCGGCCTTCTATGGTCCGGAAAGTCGAGATTTCGCGACCTAGCAAGGTCCGAATGTGGAGCTATTCGCGATGTTCTACCATCCGAATTACTGTTAGCAACCGCAACGTCTGTAAATTTACTCTCCATCCAATCTTTCAAAGATTCAAACCTACTACACCATTTCTGCTCCATGCGTTGCTCTAACAAATCCATTTTAGAAGCACGTTTCTTCGTACTCGTCGTGGTTTTCTGTTTACCGGAAGACTCTTCAACCGGTGAAAGGATAGGAATATCCTCGTTAATATTATCCCGCCCCCTAGACGTAGGGGTAGCGGCTGATAAATCAAACGATAAATCTGCCTCGGTCATATTACAAACTAAACTGATAGTAAATATGCGAAGGTGACTCGATGAGCGCCGGAAATTTACTGAAGTTAACTCGTGGATATCTACCTTTTATAGGTAGATAGTTCTATTTTTAGAACAGGCGAGTTACAGGTGACTGAGCATGGATAATTCTTATCGTTATCATCAGGTAAGTAGCGATATGAAATAAAATTTACAGTATGGTAAACGAGTTATGGCTTTTTTTCTGAACTTAAGCTTGGATGTTAAAAGGGTCTTTTTTTAGAAATGATGAACCTTTAAATAATCTGCGAAATAATCCTTATGAAAAATGATACCTCATTGATCATTCTTTTATTTCTTTCTCATATTATAAGATTCTATTTTCTATTTCATTTTATAAAATGGAAACTGAATAACATATTTTATATTACTTAGCGTGACCTTGGAATATTTAGATGTTTTAAGTTGAAGGTCACCGATCTTGTTTTTAAAAGTTAAGTGCTACTGAATGAATGTATGTGTATTTTGTTTTTGTTTTGCTGTTAAGTCATTAAGTGTAACTTTTTGGTTAGCCTTCTCATTTATCCTTGGCGCAATACAAAGTTTCATGGAATCCAATAATTTGAAAAGAACTTTGTTTGATAAGTAAAGAGACTAATGAAAAATAAAAAATAGCCTTTTTGAAAGATTTGAAAACTATAGCATAGACCTTTAATTCGACTATCATATATGAATGAAAATGACAGTTTACCTTGAAATTGTCGATTTTGTTCTGTAAGTGTATCCACTTTATTTTGTAGATGAGTTGATCTTTCAGTCAAAGTGGGAAGATCGTCACCTAATTGGCCTTTTAGACGTTCAATTTCGTCTGCAAAATGTAAACATTTGTCATATGTAATTAGATATCATTAAAAAATGAATTCACAGATCATAATTAGTTTAATATACCATTGCGCAATAGTCAATGTTATATTAAATGTGCCCAACTAACATTAGAGAATAATCTACCCGACAAAAATCGAACATTTCATATGTATACATGTATAGCTTAAAAACAAAACATAAAATAATTTACTATTTTTTCTTTTCTTAGCCGATATGATTGTAACGATAAACGGAACCCGAAAAGGTCTTGCAAATCTTTGTAAGACCATCTACAGATAATTCATTGTTAGTTAGTCTTTAGTTTCTTTACGTAAAACAGCACTTTGAAAGAAGCCCGTGGATAAGAAAAACGTTGTTTCATGACAAAAAAGACAATTTTGAACAAAAGATTCACATGATTTAATCTTTTAATAAAATATCGTAATCAGATCAAAGTTTGTTAAATTTTTAAGGGTAAAAAGCTATACGTGATGAAAATTTTTCATAAAATTGAAGAATGGTAAACTTTTGTTATTTACATAATATTATGGTAGATTCTCGAAAGAACTGTTACATGAAATATTTATTTATTTGTTATTTAACACACATGTGCTTAAACAGAATAAATGTTGCGGACACAAAGTAATATGCTGCTATTTTAAGGAGGTTTAGCAAAGAATTCCGACTTGCACAACTCACTCATAAGAACTGTTATCAATAAATTTCTTTCATACAAACATTTTGGAATTATTACTTTTCAAATTTCAGACAACTTATTTGTTACTTTTGGGCTGCAGAGATATAATTTTATACACTTTAACATTGTTCATACGTTGATAACACTATGACAGTGTCAAATATCACATGGTGCAAATGAGTATTAAGTCCATTTTATTATGCAATATCTTTAAAGCATCAAAATTTGTAATCTGATAAATTTACAAAAGCAATAGGTAATATAAAATTATATGTTGGCCTAATTTTTCCTCCAATAAGACGCACGCTTCATTTGTTCACATTTCTTAAACTTGAAAACAAATTGATTACTAGTATACATCACGAAGGCCTTAAAATCAACGCATGCGCATCATATTGAAATCTCCATGCGGAAGTTTAAAATATGTTTAGGTGAATAAGTATTATTATAAGAATCATAAATATGCTAATTATGCAATAATATTGAAAAGTTAGTGAGACTTTACGTCTATCTTTTTATTTCAATTGTCGGTCTACGAATCACGTTGGTGTATGAGAAGGGGATTCTCCGCCACTGGGTGTTCACACATCTAGAACTTAAAGCTTTTCAGTGTATATATAATATGCTTCATTTCAATGCACGTTGGGTTCCAGAGTTCCGAAAATGTCAACTGAGTTCTGCATTGACTTATTTTCGATCTGCGACATTGAAATATTCAAGATGGCGGTTGATACTTTGTTTTATGCTTAAGTGACAAAAGGTTAATTTATTTTACCATCTGAAATATCTAAAAATTGTGTTTATATCACAAAGTACTCTAGTACATAAATTGTGACTGTATTCCCAAAAATTAAAAGATGCTGTGAAAATATTCTTTGTCAGTCATTTACTTAATAACTTTTGGTGCCGTATTGAGCCCCATTTTAAATATGATGGGTATGAAATAAAATGTAGTTAATATTTTATTTTCCAAAGAACTATAAATATACCCTATTACAATGTTCCGGTGAAATATCAAGTTTTTAGATTATAAATAGTGATTTTTACAAATACCTCATTAAGCTTATCGACAAACTGAAGTTATTTTGTAAGCTCCGTAACAACCGTTCGCCAGAGGCTTTATAATGAGAAATCTTACATTCTTCTATAGAAAGTGCAAACATGAATTTTATTATGTTTAAATAATGGTATCAGAGAAATGTAAGATGCTTGTTACCTGAATAAAGTAGCGATAAATGTGAAATAATTTGTCATTAAAGTGGCAAATTGTAAACATTGAAGTAATTGACAACCATATAAATACTTATTCCCTATAACTATACTCATTGCCAAAATTGCCAAAAAGGAACAGATGAAAAGATCAGGTTCAGGTAATTGGCCAATGAGTAACACTTTGGATACTATAGAAGAACACCAACGTTAAAAAGCTTTAAAAAATACAAATAAAAGCACAATGGGCCTTTAAAAACGTTATTTTTAACGATATTATAATCTCGGGGGGGGGGGGGATCAAAACACTACCATCCCCTCTAGATCCCCCAGTGAGAACTTTACATTATTAAGAAGTTCCGCTCTTAATGTGTGACTACTTAAACAGTTTGATATTTTTGAGGACTACTACTTAAGGCCGCATCTACATCTAGTCAAGTTTCTTAAATATCACATTTAGATAAGCTAAATAAACGGCCCTTTCGTCATATTATCAGGCACATTTTTTACTTAAATGTCTTATTAAGATTGCCCAGAATTTATAACTATGTCTATGCTAAGTATGTCATATTTCTGTAAAATGTGTGAATAAAAAAGCGGGAAAATGATGCAATTACCTAAAAACAGTGGAGTTAATTTAAGGTGTACAAATGTACATTCTTTTAAAATAAATGGAAAATGTGAGAAAAAATGTTTTGAGCTTATTTATTGATAAAAATTTGCTATTTGATGAAATCCCTATTGATTTTACTATAATTCAGTGCACATGTTTTGCGTCTATTCAATACCATGATTTTTGTTTACCATTGGCTTTGACTACAATATATTATTTAAAACATCATGAAAATGGGTCAAAGACAGAAAAGTCCGGGTTGCATATGTATACAAAATATCATGAGGCTGTGATGTTACTTAAATTTTGGACCACTGACCAATGATGTTGAAAATTTAACTAAGTTGTTACACCGGAAGTGGATGAGCAACAGACCTGAAATGGAATCCCACAATATGGGACCACATGTAAATGCTGTGAACCACATATCAAGAGGCTGTGATACGTAGTTGCTGAGAAAACTGTTGCGAAAATTGCATAATATTGACCATTAATGTTGAAAATTTAACTAAATCGGGAAACAGGAAGTGGATGAGCGACAGACCTGAAATCAAATCCCACAATATGGTATGGGACCACATGTAAATGCTGTGAACCACATATCAAGAGGCTGTGATAAGTAGTTGCTGAGAAAACTGTTACGAAAGTATCCTACTATCGACCATTAATGTTGAAAATTTAACTAAGTCGGCAAACAGGAAGTGGATGAGCGACAGACCTGAAATCAAATATCACCTTATGGGACTACATGTTAATGCTGTATGCTAAATATCAAGAGGCTGCGATAAGTAGTCGCTGAGAAAACTGTTACGAAATTTTCCTACTATTGACCATTTATGTTGAAAATTTAACTAAGTCGGCAAACAGGAAGTGGATGAGCGACAGACCTGAAATCGAATTCCACATTATGGGACCACATGTTAATGCTGTATGCAAAATATCAAGAGGCTGTGATAAGTAGCTGCTGAGAAATTGTTACGAAAGTTTTTTCCCCGCCCGCCCGCCGCCCGCCCGTCCGTCCGCCCGCCGCCCGCCCGTCGTCCGCCCCGCCGCCCAACATTCACCATACTATAACCCGGGTTTGCACCTGTGCAACCCGGCCAAAAATTCATTTGTCGTTTGTCTGACGTAAAAAAATGCACATGTACCTGTTTAACGCACTTTAGGTTCAAAATTGGACCCAAAAGTGCGTTGGACCCCAAAGTGCGTTGTTACATAGCATGTTAACAGTTTAAATTTGTACATAATTTTATTTTCCCTTTTTAAATTTCGGCTAAATTTGGCCACCTTTTCCCACGTTATTTTTTAAAAGGGGGTCAATTTTCTTGATTTTTCTTTAGAGAGGGTTTGGGGTCGGAAATTTTTTCCAGGGTTTTACCGCTGGGCATAACACCGTAAAATTTTCCCCCAACTTTTTCCAACGGGACTTTCCCAAATTTTAACCTTTTTTTTTTTTGCCCAAAAGGGAACAAAAAATAACCTTTAAGAATTTAAACACACCCCCGGGAAAAATTTTTTTTAAAAAAAACAGCAAAAATTTGAGAGGGAAATTTTTCTAAAAAAAGTTTAAAGGATAAGATTTTTTTCTTTGGAACTTTTAATCAATTAATTTTAATTTAAAACCCTTTTGAAGGTTTAATAATCACCCAAATTTGACACTAAAAGAAAATTTCTAAAAAAAAAAATTATAACAATTTATACTTTTTTTTTAGATTTTATTTTTGACATTTTTTCCAACACGGTTTTTGGGGATTTTCCCCTTTGGGGAATAAAGGGGTTTGTTTTTTTACGGGAAAAGTCTTTTCATTTTTTTACCTTTTGGG